GTCAAGACCAAAAAAAAGAAAAAAGAAAGAAAATCCCAAAGCAGACCATTGCGTATGAATAATGATGCAAAAGATAATAAAAAAATATGCACATCCTCTCCTAAAATTCAGTTTTAGTTTTGCAAACTTTTATTACAGTTTCAGTTATGTTTTTTGAAAGGCCTACTTTTGATTTTGATTTCAGTTAACGAAAATGTTTTCGATTTTAGTTTTAGTAATTTCGTTAGTTTTGGATAACAATGATAACCTTGGTTCCAAAGACGGCCGTGTTGTGAAATATGTGCATTAACTGTTAAAAAAAGGTTAAAAAAATGATGACATAAACTGAATGGCCACTCAGAAAAGAAGAAGCCACAACTCCAAATCGATAGAAATACTTTATCTATCCCAAGCCAGAAAATTGTGGAAGCAATATTGAGTGGAGATGCTGGGGATTGAACCCAGGACCTCATACATGCGAAGCATGCGCTCTACCACTGAGCTACATCCCCTACATGGTGGATATGCAGAAGATGAAAGAATATGTTTCCTGTTGTCAAAAAACTGCAACTATAGTGTTTGGATATCTGGAAGTAAAAGGGGTGGATTAATAACTCAGTCCCAGCTGGAAAACTCTCATAGTGAAGACCAAACCTGGGCACAGAAATATGCTGACCCATCATAATCGACTCTATACCAGCACATTAGCTTAGGGACAATAAAGTCAATGTTTTAGGGTGTCCATCATGCTGTTCTCAGTCCCATAGATGGTTAGAGTTACAAAGGTTCCTCTAATCAAAGTGGCCTACAGACCTGACACAGATACAGCGGTTCTTTCAGGAGAAAAGGGTTCAGATTTAAGCCAGCTGCTATAGGGGCTTGAAGGCGACCCAAAACCTTCAGCCAAGATCAAACAATTTAAAAGACCCTCCTAATCTATTCAAATGTCAAAATTTGATGAAAGAAAGGAAAGAAACATACAATTTTTCTCCTCAGGACAGGACAGGTTTAGTTTTACTGAAACAGCCATTAATCTTTTAATAAAGCTTATGAAAATATCTGACTCTGACTGTATTTTTTTATTGTATATCTTTAGAAACATCTTTATAGAAGAATTTTGAAGAAGCTTAAATGACCATGTGATCAACTATTAGCACTTTGAACTTGAAACCCTAACTAAAGTTTTGCTGTTTATGGTTTGCTGCCATACTGCTGACTGAGCGCTGAAATATGGGCTTGAATCAGAGCACTCTGCTGCTGACTCCTTTCACTGGTTGTCATAGTAACTGATCACCTGTGAATAATAGTGACTACAAACCAATGCATGCCAGTGATTTCCTTTCACCACTGACACCAAAACTTTCTCAAATTATATAGAAATTGCTGTCAGAGGGATTTAAGTGATAATAGAGACCCCTCTGCAGTTCATACATGTGACACATGTACTTGTTTTTGTTTTTTTAGGAGTGCCACAGGGTAAACTTAGGTATAACCAGTTAAACCCGTTTGTATACCTTCAGCTCTGTTTGTCTTTCATGGAGTTCTGCTTCTGTGTGCCCTGAACAGCTCTGACCGTTATGTGGTGGTGGACCACAGTCATCGAACTCTGGTTCAGGTTGAGCCGTTGGAGGAGACCTCTGGTGGCGCAACCTATGAGAATTGCTTCAACCTCATCATGCTGGAAAACCACCAGGGGCGCAAGATGGAGCGGCTCCTCAAAGCCCCATCCAAGTGAGTGATCATCTCAACAAACTATAACATTGTCAAAATTGTTTTAATTTTAGAAAGTAGATATAGAAATTGGAAACTCATATACATGGTGTATCATCATACAAATTGAAGCAATGAGTTTCCAATTAAAATAGTTACTGAGTTTGTGCTGACATTCTGGTTTGAGGCGTTTAACCTGTAAGTGTCTGCAAACATTATTCAGCTAACTTTATTCACATCCTGGGAAAATGCCCGTAGAACAAGGCATTGAAAATCAAAAATACCCTTTTAAAGCTCAGGTTTATTTCTATAACTCGTATAAAACAAGGGAAGCATTTTTATGGTGAATAAAATCAGATAACCCTTAAATGTTTCCAATCATTCTCCAGGCATCAATCATAGATGTATCTGGAAATGCAGGAATGTAAATTCCCTGGAATTCTGAAAAAAAAAAATAAAATAAGTAATGTCTCTGTGAAGACACATCATAAGGCTCTACTGCTGAAAGAAATAGGATGTTGTAGCCATTTTAAAATTGGACATTTTAAACAGGCCGGTGAAATACTTGGAGAATAACCAAGAGAATTTAAAGATGATAAATCCTCTTGTTCAGTAAGTACTCTCTAGTGGTAATACTGTTCAGAAGAAACACTACAACCTCTGTGAGGCTTCTGAGCCCCTTTGCTTCTTTATTTCTGCACCAACCCTCAGAAATTGGACCAATATTCAGCCGTTTTTTTTTCTATTTTGCTTCTTTTTATGCCTTGAGAAGGAGCCATTTCTCAGCTCTGCATTGAGTTACTAGGTTCTGGACATGCTCTGTCTCACGTGACTGCAAACTAGTGTTCCTATTGGTGCAGAATCCTTTGGTTTTAGGCATGGTATACTAATCAGAAGTAAATATTTGTAGATTTTGGACCTGTCAAAATGTATAAGCTCATTATTAATGTTCAATTTTTTTTGCTTGGTAAAATTACTTTTTTTATTCTACCAAGACCCTATAGTCTTTATATGTGTTTTCACACACTGTTTGCTGAAAGCTAGGCTTTTAAACCTATAAACACCATATCAGTAGTGATGTTTAAAGATGGGAACATCATCATGTGGAAAACTTTGTTAAATTATATAAACATATTGTTTCCAATCTGAACATGAAATTGAGGATTATCAGCAAGTCTGGGATTCCAAAGAAACAAATTAAATATTGAAGCAATATCTCAAGACATCAGCAAGGGAGTGCTGAACATAAGCGGGTCTTCAAAATAGACAAACACTCTAAGCATGTCACCAGGATATTAAAGTCAAGGATTAATGAAGGAAAATATCATTGGCGAGACAAAAAAAATTATTTTCAAGCATGGAGGTCTTATAGACAAGTTCCGTATGGAGGAAATTAAATTAAATTAAAGGAAGGTTATAGGAAACCCAATAACGTAACGTTTAAAGACATTTTCACCAAATATTAAATAAATTAGTCAACCAGTCAAATTAATAAAAAAAAAACCTAACATTATGGAAATTTAGCAAATGGAAATAAACTGGTTATCCTGACTGATCTAAAATAATTAAAGTTTAATCCGATTTGATGTCAGGCAGTGATAGAACACCTAAACTGTGGAACAACCTGCCCCTTGGTCTGCGGATTCTCACTGATCTGCACCTTTTTGAGTCCAGATTAAAGACTTGTTTTTTTAAACTGGCTTTTAATACTTAGAAAACATTGTTTTATGCTTATGATTTTAGTTTTTTTTAATTGTTTTGCAATGCTTCTATCTTTCTGTGAAGCACTTTGGTCTTCCTGGTGTTGTTGTAAAATGCTACATAAATAAACCTTGTTTTGATTAGAATGAATTTTTTTTAACCAGGGAAAATATGAACTGGTTTCTGCTATTTTGGTTATTAAGAAAAAGTAAAAATGCACAATGCTTTCCATGGTTTTTAAAACTTAAGAAAGAACATATTTACCTATGTATTTATACATGTATAGATATAGATAAATATGTGGTATTTTGAGTTTTAAAAACCATGGAAACTATAGAGCTGTCATGAATACGAGGTTTGGAGTTGAGTGAAAGCTCGTTTGTATCAACAGGTCAGACATGGAGAGATGGTTGGCTGCTTTCCCCAGCTCCACCAAAGATGATGTTGAAGAAGAGGTGATTTATGAGGACTGGGGTGAGAACGACACACAGCGTCATCAATATCAGAGGCCTTGTGTTTGGTCTTTTCACATGCTTATGGCTGTGTGTGTGTGTCAGATTGTCCTCAGGTGCAGTGTGTGGAGCGGTACGTCGCCCAGCAAGGAGACGAGCTCAGCCTGGAGCCCACTGAGCTCGTCAACGTCACCCGCAAAACCAACGAAGGTAAAAAATCTGCAGAAATGTGCTCAGTGAACGTTTGGAAACGAAATTTTACCCACAGAATGGAACTATAGGATTTTGTAATAGTGTCATAAAGTGAACGTTTGGTTTTGTTTCACTGATGAACCCCACCCCCCCTTTGACTCTACTTGTCGGTTTTTTATCCTTGAATCATCTAGCAGTTTAATATATCCTTTTGACCATCTTGCTTTAACTGAAAAAAAACTACAACCCTCCCTTGTTTGACATCCGCTTTCTTCTCCCTCCAGGCTGGTACGAAGGAATCCGTCTGTCTGATGGTCAGAAGGGCTGGTTCCCCACTGCAAACGTCATCGAGATCACCAACGAGCACGTCAGGAGGAGAAACATCAAGGAGCGCTACAGGCTCGCTCAGGCTACGATGAAAAACCACTGAGTACGTTTACATGGGAATGAACTCCTGTTTATCAGCAAACATTTGATAAATAATCCCCTAATCTATACTGCTGAGGTAACTGAGAACTAAACACATCTTTGCCTGCAGATGCTAAAACAAATATTCTGCATGCATATTACGTGTGTCTGGGAAAACCCTAAAGGCACATGCCAGTCGTTTTAAGCATTTCTGGAAAAGCAATGTTTGGTTTTACTGTAAGCATAAGCTGTTAATGCTGAGTCATTCTTATTCTGTTGTTTCTGCCAGGCTTTGAGGACATCAAGCTTTCAGGAATGTCTCAGCTATGAACTCTAAAGAAAGAGCTACTGATTTACTGGATCCTCAGGTGTAAAACTGTGATGGTTTAGGAATACTGCAGCTCCTACAGTTTTTAATCAGCAAACCACTGTAGAGAAAAAATGTACATATGTTGAAAAGTGTAAATTATGAAAAAAGCTGTTCTGCTTAAACGAGTAGATGTACTTTTAATAAAAAAAATATTTTACATCTTATGAGTCATGTGTTTGAAAAGGAAACATTTTTATTGAACTTTTTTTTAATATTACAAGCATGAAAAATTAACTTCCAATAAAATAAAACTGCGTAAAACAATACCAATGGGGAGTTTCAGGTTTTAAGAGGAAAAAAACTTTAAAAAAAAGCTCCTTAAGCTTTTAGACCTTCAGTGTTTGTCATTGAATGTTAGCGTCTCCCCAAGACTAAGCAGAACCTGCACAGCATCCCGTTCCAGATCCATCAGCATCGGCTCCTCTGACCTGCCCTCCATCTTTGAAAGGAAGGACTTCTCTGGTTCTGAAGGACCCGTGTCAGATCTGATTTCGCTGTTCCTCTCCATGCAGCTTCCATTTTCTGAACGGTCACAAGTTACTAAAGGTGACAAACTCTGGTATTCTAGCTCTGCTTCAGATGTTTGGAACCGCAGGTGATCAGGAGGTGTTATTCTGTTTGGTATCAAGTAATCATCCACCAGGTTGAAGCTGCTCAAGAGAGTGTTTGCAGCTCCATACTCTGCATCTGACCATCTCTGTCCCTCCTCTGGTGCATCAGTGCAGATTACCTTATTTGCTTCCTCAAGGGATGTGTTCAAATCCCCGGGATTAGATTTTAGAGCAGCTGGGAAAGCGATATGTGCAGCAGAGATACATTCCTTGCTTTGGGGCGCCTCCTGGTGGTGCAGTGTCAACAGATCGGTAATGACCTGGTCCTCCTGCTGACTGAGCTGGATGATGACAAACCTCGGCTGGACCCGAAGTTGGATGCTCCCTGTGCTCCAGTCGGGGGTGCCCAGGTTGTAGATGGGGTGTGGTCCGGCCCTGAATGGGTCTGGGTGGTTTGGGGGGGCGACACAGGCGGACATGATGGGGGGAGGAGTGTTGAGCTGGGTGCATTTAAAAACCTGGTTAGAGGAGTAAAAACAAGAAGTGGTTTATTTTATTTTTTAGGTGATGAAATTATCAGACATTTAATTTTACATAAATTTAAAAAACATATTACCTAATCAGCTACTTTTCATATAGATGACTAGGGTTCAATCTTTTTTATCCTGTAGTGTTAATTATAACTGACATATTGAGAATATAATTAACAAGTTAGTTTGCTTTAAGGATTATGGTTTAGAGCTACTAAAATAAAAACAACTTTAAGAGGTCAGATAATTATTTCTGACCAATTAGAAATGCCTTTATAATATATAAATGTCCATCTACTACAACATGTATCTATGTACTGTAATGTATTTATAATTAGTATTGTTTTGGGCTGCTGGTGTATTGGAAACCCAGGTGCTTTATTTTGTATAATCCTTCTCATACTCAATTGATTAAAATTGTGGTTATCAGTACTTTTTAGCAGTGTGAGCTGGTGCCAAGTCCAAGACAGAGGCAATAAGTACTCTAACAAAAAGAAAAGAGTAGGTACACATGAGGCATTGGTCCTTAAATCACAATTAACTGTAAACGTTTAGCAGTTGATCTCAAATAGGGTGGATTCTGTGCCTCTCCTCTCCTCAAATCCACCCTCTGAATATGACAGTCATACCCTAAGCCCTGATGCACCTGTGTGTGGTGATTCTTGAAGCTTTGCCACCCCATCTACAGTTCATGCTTTCTGAATCTTTACATCAGCTTTGCTTTACATTTCTGTCACTGTTACACCTTAAAAGTATAGTTGACAACCTATTATTTCCGTGTGATCATCAAAATAAGTGGTCCTCGTGATAGTCAATCATTCTGGTGGTATGTTTATGTAAGGCCGTCCTACGTGCTCAACCCCTTAGCGATCTTTTTCTGCGCATGCGCGGTTTCAGGTGTATATCTGAAGTGAGGTACGGTTTCAGCCAGTCATTGAAGCTCACCTTTCTCACTGCGGTTCTATGAAAATGGCCGAGGGTCGTAAGAGAAAAAGTGTCTATGAAGTGCATGAGAAGAAAAGAAAGGCCTCAGAAGAGGCAGATATATGCCAGAGATATGGGATTTGCTGTCACAGCGTAGATGGCGCAGCACCGTGCAGTGAGGGAGGAGTTCTGTGACCAACGGGGAGCAAAGAGCAGTGATCATCTGTCCGAACGGTAAGTTAATTGAGACCACTATAAAGTTCACTATATAGTCCACGCTCTATATAGTGATTAAGGGGTTAGGGCGGACATTCGGTAACCTGACAACAGCCAGATGCATGTCTCGCTCCGCCCAGCTCCACTCACATACGTGAGCGGAGCTAGGCGGAGTGAGACATGCATCTGGCTGTTGTCAGGTTAGACATTCGGACCACTGGGGTAACTTTCTGAAGGACTAGTCTGGACATGTCCCTAACAACTGTGGCAGGAGGGGACAGTCCCCAGCAATACTTTCCGCTTTTTTCCCCTTTTAGCTGATTTACTTTAGCCAACAGTAACTGGGGTTGGGTGTTCAAAGGGTTTTCAGTCTGTGTTTTTTCCTCGCTGTCCCGCTACTCGAGTCCCACCTCTTGAAATATCATCGGATCTGTCGCTTTAGAACATAATATTATTTGGGGTTGCTATTCACTGAGTAGGGAGTAGCTACATGGAGGAGGAGAGACACAGCAGCACTAAGTGAATTTTAACCCGCAGCTACTTCTATATATGTTTCAGTACAAGTTAGGAGACGGGTTGGTTAAAAAAATTAAAGATGCCACCGATAAATCTGTTCTTTACACATACTGAGGTTTTTCAGCTAAAAATGGCAGCAGATTGTACATTTATATAAGTTAAAAAAGCTGGGCTTCTCAGAGGACCATTACTCAGAGTTACAGATTAAAATTAACATATATATGTTGTTTTCTTATTTAACAGAATCAGACTGCAGAGCTTCTAGATATCTTGAAAATGATTTTCTCTTACATCATTATATTGGTAGGTTCATAAATCTGTTATTAAGCAGAGCATGGACACAATTAAGGACAGCTGCAGCTTTAAAGGTGAAACAGGGATATGCAACATGCAATAAAATATATCTCCAAGTTTACAAGCTAATAAGATACAAGATAATAAAATTCAATATATCTTTCTGTCTTTTGTAATTCAGCAAGACTCAGAAATAGCTGCACCAGCCAACCCAGAGAGAGCCAGACTCACAGGACACAGACTTACAATTAAAATATAAGAAACCTGCAAGAATAAAATCACAAATAATACAAATCAGTTTATAAATGATTTTGGAACTAAAAGGTTCAATATTTAGACTTTGGCTGGCAATAACATATGGGACAAATATCTAAATTTGATTTTGCTGCTTGTGGAGGTGGACAATCCCTGATGCAGCTTAGAGGGAAGCCATGCATGGATGGATGGATGGAATTAAAGTTGTGTTCATACTAGGGGTGCATGATATATTGATGTTGGCATCGGTATAAACTGTTGCTCATTTTTTATACATTGTTTTTGAGCCCTTTATAAATAATGCACTAAAGGAAGGCATCTGTCTAACTATAAATATCAGTGTAGTGTGGTACTCTTGTGTTCTCAACAATAGGAAAGCATTCAATAAATATATGTTTGAGCTCATTTTTGGAAAATATAAACCCTATTGAAAGCGTTTGGGTTGAGTAGCTGTAGGTCCGACAGCCCCCGCCCACTTTTATGACAAGGTTAGAACCTTGGTTCGGACACAGTCAGCCTGTATGAGCTATGAGAACAGCAGCTTTTAAACAGCATGCACGAGGAGAAATGGACTACTGTATGGATTTTAATTTTTATGCATTTTTTCTTAAGTAGAGAAATCACAAAAATCTTCCACAATACCTTTAATTCAACCACACTTCTTCCTTCCACTCAATTTTCTGTGACGTTGCCATTGTTAGATCTTATAAGTGTTGTAGGTGTGGACAGACTTACCACCTTCTCATTATAGATCCTCTTCCCACATGGCAGAGTGGGGTCTGTGTAGAAAAGCTCCTCAGGACACATTGGAAAACCTGAAGAAAAATTAAGTTGAGTTAATGTTGCCTATAACCCAAATATCAAGATGATCAGTGACTCACGTAGTTGAGCGTCTCCATGACAGTGATGGTTTAGGGGTGTGGGAAGGTAAAGAGGGAGGAAGGAGGGGTGGTGCAGGGTTCTGTTGGAGATGGGGGGCAGGAGGGTCTGCCTGGATCTCTGTTTTAGGACCAACGGCTCAATAAGTTAACAGAACCGGACCGGAACATTAAATACTGAGCTAAACTCACCAGTAAACGTTCTTCTGTGAAGCTCATGGTCGTCTAATTGCTTGCTTGAAGAAAAAAAAAAAAAACAACTCGATTTTTAGGTCAAACGTAAAGTTTTGCATTTTCGCTAGCGACATCTGCTGGCCAGATGACGGAATTACATTCGATTGAATTGGACGTTAAGACTCCTGTAATTGTTTTCCATTGAAACAAACAGAATTACCAAGTTGTTAGATGCTTTTGGAAAAATATTGAAGTAATTTCTTCCAGCAGTTATACCCTTCGGTTACATAGACACTAAAATTAACCAGTTTCAGTCATCACAAAATGTACTTTAGGCGAATAAGTCCACATTTTTACCACAGAGGTTCATGTAGAGATGCAGACCAGATTTACTTGGGGGAGCAAAGTATGGCAATATTTTGGCACCAAAAAAATCTAAAATGTGGGCTGCAGAACTAATTCATTTACTTTAAACTGAATGTGGGTCCATTGAAAATTAGACTTTTCATTTTGTTTACACAAGTGTAAAACAAGAAATGTTGTTTGGAACAGCTCTCTGGACAATTTTATCTTTTTAAAAGTGCAGCCTTGGAAAAATGGTAAAAAATTTTAATTTACCCAAAATAATTCCTTACCAGGGAGAAGTTGCTAAAATTAGCTGCAAAATACACGTCCAAGACAAAGCCTTTTTTTTATTAGGTCAATATATGTTCAGGATTACATGAATTTAAACGAACCACAACTTGAACCGTTTTTTAATTAATTTGACTTGGTTGCACATATGCTTTAAAACATTTATCAGATGAGTGAAGCAATCATTTAAAATAAAAAAAAAATTAAAAAAACAGCCCTCATCCTCTGATCCCAGTCCCACTTTGCCAACTTTGCAAGACTTAAAGGGGAACGCCATGTTTTTTTTGTTTGTTTTTTTACATTGGGGCCTTGATTTTACATTACTCCATCATGTTCTACTCACCAATATTAGTTTTGTGTCATTTGGAGCTGTTCTGAAGATATTCCATTAGGTTATATCCAAGTAACGTCTTCCTATGGGCAACGACTTGAAGGCACAAACTAAACTGTTCATAATGTATCATTTATGGTACGCCAGCATTCATAACATGTAGGCGAATCCCTGTCCCACAGACATCCGCGGTTATATTTTTTATATTTATATCTTAAAAACAAAGCGGAGTGTGTATGATGTCATCCGCGCGCCCCAGCTACCATTCATCCATCCTGTCCACTGAACTGCTGCTAGTTTTACTCACATGCCTGGAAGATGTCTAGTGCTACTACCACAGATGATCTCGCTCTCGAAATGGAATTGAACGATTCAGATTAGCTAGCAGAATGAATAGAAGGGGTAGAGCGTAACTCCAGTCCTGTGCCAAGATGACGTCATACACGCGCCACTTTGTTTTTAAAAAATTTATAGAAAATAACGGCAGATGTCTGGGGGACAGTGATTCACCTACATGTTATGAATGCTGGCGTACCATAATTATGAACAGTTTTTAGTTTTTGCCTTCAAGTCATTGCTTGGATGTAACCTAACAGAATATCTTCAGAAAAGTCCAAACAAAACTCATGGGCGAGTAGAACATGTAACATAAAATCAAGGGGCTGATGTCTTAAAAAAAGTGTTCCCCTTTAAGTCCTTAGCGTTGCATAGGACTTAACCTTTGACGTACCTGTATGCTAGAAATTTACATTGTGGCTAAAAGACAGATCTCTTTATGGACCCACTCGGCGCTTAAGAACTTTAATCTTTCTGAAATAAATTCTTTTGGCGTCCCATCGTAAAAGTTGTAGCGAAGTTCCAAATTCTCCAGAGTGGTGCCCGACTTTACATGGGTGAATAAAGTGAATGTGATAGGTCGATCAAGTAGATTGTGGCAGAAGGTTTGCAGGAAAGTTCTGTTGTGGCCGGTTTCGCGGAAGCATCTTGCTAACCAGATAGCAACTTAGTGCTAGTAGGTTCTCAATGGGGAAATTACATTGGGAGTAGCACTTTGCAACGACACTGTCAAGGAACGCTATGGACAGTGGAAACATGCAAGACAGGAGAGTTTTGTGCCCGAGGCCATAGATGAGTCTCGGTCATTTTTATTTTTGGAGGAAAGTAGGGATGAAGTTGTGGAAGAGGATGGCAGAAGCTTTGTTAGGTGTAGAAGGCTTACAGTCGTACATGTTTGAGCCCTTGCCTCGCAACGCTGCCAGTTGTTAGCTCTACGCGAAAGACAGACATCCATCCCATGAACACTGAGACGGAACCCAGTGGTAAATTCTTTCAACCACTGCGCATATTAGCTGCGACATGAATCAATGCTAAAAAAAAAAAAAATAATTAAATTTGACAGATGACCGTTGATATACGATTGGCCAAATTTAGGGTTACAAACTATAACAGGCCTGCGTAACAGAACTTTTTTTTTTATAGAAAACATTGCGACAATATGGTCTGCAGAGATGGGAAGTACAAATACTTACTGTACTCAAGTAGATTTTTCTGGCGACTTTTTACTACTTACATTTTTACACATCTGTACTTTCTACTCCTTACATTTAAAAAAAAAAAAAAAAAAAAAATCGGCTCGTTACTTTAGAATCATTTCAATGGAGTTACCGTTATTTTTCACGTCATCAATACCAAATTGGATGGGAAATCTACGTTGCATTTGACGCACCACTACAAGATGAAGCGACAGATTCGGCGGTATTCATTCGCGGCAAATCATTGCAGTTTGGTTTGCAGTTAGCATAGTAGTATGGACGACGAGATGATTGAAAACACAAGTTTAATCAGTACTTCTAGAGTATTTTTTAATACAAGTATCTGTACTTTTACTCAAGTACGGAAAGTGAGTACTTTTGCCATCTCTGATGGTCTGAGAAACACATTTATATACATGTTTAAGCCAGAATGATTTGAAATTTAAATTAGACTTTGAACTACCAGTTTTGTAAAAAATTAAAACCACAGAACTTCATTCAGTATTTCATGCTTTATTAGTCAACATTTTACATTCCTCCTCAAATATGTCGAGGAAACTGAGCTTGTTTGGGTCCTCTATTACCTGCAAGAGAGGAAAGAGTGTTTCAAGTTATCAAGGCTCAAATTTTGACTCCTTTGAATTTAGTCCCTCACCTTTACTAAACGAACCAAATTGGTTCTGAACCCTGTAAACTTTAATATAGCGAGCTGTTGGGTAGAAAGGAGGCAGGTGCAAGTTGGGAGATCTGGTTCTTCGAGGAGCAACTGTGGTCGTTTCAGCCGTGGTCCTAGTGGGAGCTGGTGCAACGGGAAGATAGATGAAGTTTAGTAAATGGTTTGAGCACAAGTCTTGCTCAGCTTTTAAGCTGCAAACATACCTTTTGCATGGTCCACAAAAGGAATAATGCTTCCCACACCCTCCTTGTCAGATTCAAATTTGTGAGCCGAGAAGAGGCGGTAGAGACCTACTAGTGGATATCTGCATTGCACAGTAATTCTATGGGGAAGAAACTGAAATTATTGATTTTTCTTTAAAATAGCATGAATTATAGCTTTGGTACATACCCTTCAGTAACATTGTTGGAAACAAAGTAGATCTTGTTTTGATAGGTCACATTTCCCTTTTCCAGCTGGAAAATAGGAGAGTTTTAATTCATGTGCTCCATCTGGCTGCCCAAGGAGAAATAAATCCCTGCAAATCAGTTTTACCTTTACTATGGAACCACAACTGTGAAGTGGGAATGAGAAGAGTACTCGTGTGCCATCCACTTCTTTAGGTAGACAGGCTCTGTTAATGAGGTGAGGTTTTGTTGGGATCTCATGGAGGACCAGAGAAAGATCAGCCACCACAGTCATCCATCCAGTAGTTGAACACACTACAGAGAGGAGCAGGGTTTATAAAAAAGGAAAAACCCACCCTAGCTCCCAATAAAGTAAAGCCAAGTATTCTTACTAATAAACTCTGTGGTATTAAATAGGCATGTCTTAATTGTTGAAGTCTGTACTTCTGAGGTGTCACGGTCCCTCATGAGGATTGTAAATGTCCCAAGAAATCCTTTCAGGCTGACATTCTGAAGAGAAAAATGGCAAATGAAGTTTAATTTTATAGCCTTAACTAAACCTTCCCTCATCCAGATAGGCAATGTCACCAATGATACCTGGTATTTGTAGCCATGTGTAAACAATGGTACACTGAGCAACAGCCTCTGGCTATCATTGCTCATGGTGTAGCCATGCATGGCTGCCAGCGCTGGTGTCAATCGGTGAGGGCCAATGCTGATGTACCACAGGTAATCAAAAGGGCGATAGGCCAACTTGAAGTCAATCCCAGATGCCGTACAGTTTGCATCAAAAGCTGGAGGGGCTGCCAGATAAGACATTAAACCTAATACTTAATTCAGATAACATTGAGTCAAACTCATTACTTACAGACAGCCATTAGTGCAGTGACTGAGACAGTGTGGTGGTATGGCTCATCTCCAGGTAAGGCAATCAGGGTGTAGTTTATGTCCAGTTTGTGCAACATGGCTGCATTCTCTTTGGAAAACTGTAGGACAAATGTTAGGCACACATTGAAGAGACAACTGGAAGGTGCACAAAGACACTTACCTCCTGAATGACTATTGGGTCATTCAACAGTACTTTCAGAGTGTAGCTATGAGTTTTATTGGGATAACTGACTTCTGTTAGGGTGTATGCACTGGGGTCACTAAGGGGCACTGCAAATTCATGCCCGTTTAGCTTGACAGATGTCAGCACAACATCTCTGGGAACTTTGCCCAGATAGATTGTAAATGTGCCCTCTTTCACATCAGTTTGGTCTTCAGTGAAAAGTGAAGATGGCAAAAGGGGAGTAACAAGAGTCCTGTGAAACCGGAGTGCCGTCTCTTCATGATGCTCATCCACTGAGATTTGTTTCAAGTAGAGGTTGAAGATGTAGAATTCAAAGATGCCATTGCTTACATAACTCTGGAAGATTCATAAGCCAGAGTCAAATTTGCAAAAACATGTGCAACCAAGCCCCACTAAATGCCTTGAAGTTTTTTTACCTTCCTGTAGCCTCCTTTGGCATTATAAGGGATTCCGATTTGGACGGTCGAGTTCTGCCGTGCCATAATGAATCCAGCCTGCTCTGCAGCAGCCTGCTCTACAAGGTTACCGTCGAGTCCCAGACTAATCTTTGTGCTGCCAAGACTGGGATAGAGGGCTTCTGGGGTGTCCCAGATCATGTAGCCACCCTCAAATGACCCTTCATCTGTTGAGAAAAAGGCAACCCCATTATTAATTAGCAAAAATGTTTTTATTAGAAGTCCAAGTTACCCACCCATTGAGCAAGCAGCAACCAGGTCAACCATGACAACAATCCAGCTCTGCCGTGAGAACACTGTTGCGTGGATCACTTCAACTGGGACACCATTCAGCTAAGAAAATAGGTTGGTTAAAACCACTAAACAAAAGACGCGCTGTAATCTGCATTGGTCACCTACCTCAGTGCCGTACGATTCTGGTTGACCATATGGTGTGCGAAACACTATTCT